GTAAAAAGGTTGGAGCATAAGCCTTTACTGATCTAGCAAGGTATTACCAGTAATAAAGCAAAAGAGGGAACAAACAAGATGCTTGACCAATCAGCTGTAGCAAAGCATAATGATAAAACATAGATGTTCTAGATAACCATACACATGGATTGTTTGCAAGGTAGATAGTGGTAAGCCTCTCTCTTGAACCAGAAACTGACTCAGCTATGCCTTCAAGTGATTCTATTTGGTTGTCATTGAGCCATAAGTCCTCCAACCTGCAAGTATAAAGATCCTTCTAAGCATACAAAACTGAAAATAAGAAAACCATTCAAAAAGGGAAAAGAGAAATATAATACCCTGTCAGGTTTTCAATATCATTGATTGAGGTTATCTTATTTGATGACACATCTAAAACATGGAGGTTGACCAATTTTGATAAGCCTTCCATTTTTGCAATACCATTATGGCTCAAGTACAGTTCCTCTAAAGCAACACATTCCTGCGGAAAACATAAATGCAAAGAAAAACCACTTTTGGTGCAATGTTCTTGTAACACAACACATTTAAAGTTTATCTCACTGCTTAAAATACCTAATTTTTAACAATGACATACCTCAAATCCTGCCATAGAAGTCAACCTATTGCTTTGTAAGCTAATCTTCTTGATGCATTTCAGACCACAAAGGTTTACAACTTTAATACGATTCTTTCCAAGCCACAGCTCCTGCAAGTTTATCAAACTTTGCAGATTTTCCATTACCTGGGATCCCAAGCAAGTTTCAGTACATTTGATTATGTTCAAGAAACACAAAAATCTCAGTTATCCAAGGAAGAGAATTTTTGCTAAAGACTTAGACATGATACACCAAATTAAAGTTCCATTTAATTCCTCTTAATTCTTTACACACACATGCACATCTGAAAAGCATTGCCAGCTTACTCAAATATCAAAAGGAAATTTGAAAAACTCCTGGCACAAAACAACTTAAGTGATTTAGGAGCTAACCCTCAATCTGTTGGAACCAAGTTCAAGAATTTGTAACTGGTGCAAGTGCTCAATCTCCTCAATCTTAGTAACTTCATTGTTTGATACATAGAGTTCCTTGACTGTGCTGGAGGCGTTTGATATTCCATGCATTGAAGTGATATCATTAAAGGAAACATCAAAAATCAAAAGCCTGTTGAAGATGCCAACATCAGGTACTCTCGTCAGTCTATTATCCCTCAGTACCAATTCCTGAAAACGGAAAAAATAGTCTCCGCATTAAACTTCCAAAAGCTAACACATGATCAAAGGAAAAAAAATTGAGAAAAAGCACAACAAAACAATTAATCTCCAACGCATTCTCCGTTCTAGCGACTTTCTAAATCTTAAAATTATCATTTCCGTTCTTCCTGGATCCTAAGTGAAGAAAATGAATTCAAAGACTTAAATTTGATTACATTTCTTTCCTCGCATAAAACTCTAACGATATCAAGCGTATAGTAGCACAGTGTCGGGAGAGATGCGATGCGATACCTCGATTCCTGACAACGCGTCCCAGCCAGAGATCGGCTCAATAGCTGCATCATCAATGAGGTTTTGCCGAAAAGAGAGCTTGTTGAGGTTAGAGAGATTCGCAATCCTAGGATCCAAGCTCGACAGCCGGTTGGCGGTGAGGTCCAACTCGGTTAGACTCGGCGATAACTCGACAGAGTCGAGATCGTGGAGCTGGAAGCTGGTGAGATCGAGAGATGTGGCCGATGATAAATCAATCTCCATCGCGTGATCGCCTCCGTCGGCGTCCCCGTCCGATGGGGTTTGCGTTTGGTTTTCCATCGAGGATACAGTGGAATACTTTGCTCGTTTAGTTCGGCACCGGGTTCTGTGGTTGATGACTCGGGTTTCGCGGAAGGGAAAATTCCTAAATGGATTATCAATTTTTTTAACTG